TTTTTTCCCAACTGATCACACAAATTTGCATAGTTGGAACGCTTTTTGTTCGGCTGAGCATTCTTTTCAACATGTAGTTCAATTTTACGCTTGGATTATTATTTAGTCAAGAATTGAAAGTTATCGATAAAATGAATTGAAAAAGTATTCTGTCACTCTGGACCATTGCCTTCTAAGCATTGAAAGGGATGCTAGATTTTCTAAAATCTCTCTGTTGCACGATATCTCTTCAAAACTGCTTTTGCCTTTCGACACATTCGAACATATATGGGACTTTAGGAACTTGCAGTGACAATGTCGTCTATCAATATGTCATACTCATTACTAGTGATGACGTATGATCGGTTATATGCTATAAGAGACCCATTTGGAAACAGACCACTATGTGTTGGAACGATCTACGATTCATCAAGTGAGTCACACAGTTTTCAAAGTTCGTTGATCACTATGACTCTCTTCCAGAGCAGAGCTTAGAACCGCTTGCATATTGCGCAGCATCAGAATCATGTGCACTTCCTGCGAGTGCTGATCTCAATTTTGAAGTAAAACCTGGAGAAATAATTGAAATTTCACGCAGAGGTATTCGCTCAGTTTTCCAGGTAAGAATCCAAACTCCAGAAGTTTACGTTACGTTTCAAATCCGTACGTCATATTTCGTTTATAAAATAGAAAGGTCGGAAAAGAACTGACTGTCTTGATTTGTTCCAGATGCAGCCCCACATTCCTCAAGCTACATGCATTTTTGAATATATCTATTTTGCTAGGAATGACTCAGTCATTGAAGGACAACAAATTCAAACCGTTAGGTTCGTAACGTCCAATTTACTATGAAATGATGGAAATTGATCTTTTCTTAATTTAGAGAAAAATGCGGAAAAATTTTGGCCCTTGAGAAACATGTAGCTGCAGACATAGTGTCAAATGTGCCCGATTCATCCACATCAGCTGCTATCGGTTATGCAACTCAGGTATTTCTCAAGAATAATGAATTAATTAAGTGACAAAATGCGAATTATAGTAACATGTTATCATAAAAAAAGCTTTAGATGGTAGCCATAGTAGCGAGTCACGCCGACTCACTTTTGAGATCACCTATGTAAATCATTCTATTGTTAGTAAAGATAAGAGAGTCCGATGAACAAAGACCTACCTCTGTGAATGCATGAACTGTACTTTATTTTTGCA